ACGCCGAGGCCGGCTGCGCCCAAAGGTGTCGTAATTGTGTGTGGGATACGTCCGTGCCCAAGCTTCACGGAGTTACAATAGTCAATGTCCACGAGTTAACCGAATACCGTACCGTCAGACAAGTCAAAACCCTCTGCGACGAGGGGGGAAAGGTACTTGTTTACGCGTCGCTGCCGGGTCAAGGCAGTGATAAGTGCTTTCGTTCGGTTAGGACTATTTCACGTTTGCTGAAAAATTACCGCATTGATGTTATTTTGCATGTGCATGATTCTGTCAAAAATGAAGGTCTGCGCAACTTTATGACACTTCGATGCCCACATCAGTTTGCACGCATTGGACATGATATTTTCATGTGCTCGTTTGCAGGGTTTACAGCAGAGACCAAGGTCAGAAACGAACCAGACGCGGTGCATGATCACAGCACTAAGGACGGCATCATCCAGAGCATCATTCATTCATGGAAGAGTGGTAAGCTCCACAATGTACGCCCAAAAGAAGTTGTAGACCTAAGTTCTCTTGCCTGCCCCTGCATTGCGGGTCGAAAGACCACGCCGAGCACAATGTCCGCCGCTCTCTACCTGAAGGGCGACACCCCGCGTGAGGACTGTGCCTCATGGTGGATTGGCTCCTTGTGGAGGGCTGTGTTTGCTGAAGAGTTCCGTTTCAGCATTAACCCCTTCTACACCCAGGGCATCCGATACCTGTACAATGAAGTCCCGGTCCAGACAGCAACGTCACTGGCCATCAAGGACAATTCTACAGTGTCGGATATTGCCCGCCTAGCGGCTGTGGCCGATGAGGGTCTTGCCCTCTTGCATCCTGCCTCGGGAAGAGGTAGCATTCGGCAGCTGTTAGTCGTGGGTGACTCAACCCTCTACTTCAAGGCCGGCGCCAAAACAGCATCCACGATTGCTGAGGACCTCGAGGCAATGACCTCCACGGGGGCCCCTTTGGATCACTACGCCACGGTGCGAGTGCTGCCAATTTGGGGAAGCAACCTCCGGAAGATCAGGGACACCGTGGTCGAAACCTTCGACGAAATGGTGGCCCAGTTGCCCCCTGAACAGCAGGAACAGCAGGTGATCGACATACTGGTTGTCTGGCAGGGAAATGAGCTCTTCGGCAACTATGGGGTCTTTATTCCCCCGGATCTCCAGTACTGGAACATGCCCCCGGAAGGCTACGCCGCTGAGGGCGATTGGTCGCAGATTGCCAGTGGAGTGTGTGGCAACATCCGACGAATCGCCGCCCTCAATGGCAGGCCGTGCTGCGGTGCGATCTCGTTCACTGGACCAGGGCGTGCAACGTATTATAGTTTGCCACACCAATGGGAGGAAACTATGAAAGTGTTGCTTTCTTACGCCAAGGGTCAGGGGTGCAACGTCTTCGAGTTTGCGAACATGGCTGGTGAGCTGCCCCTCTACGATGTGTACCACTTTCGGGAGGACAGGGAAAGCCGCAGCCGCCTGGCAAACTACCTGGCAGCACTGTCGGTTCTGGCCGCAGTGCAGGACATGGTCCAGCACGTTCCGGAGGATCTGCTGCAGGAGCTTGCCCGTGATTACCCCTTTCGTGAGGGTGGGCGCTACAGAGTCCCTGCTGAGTTCGAGTCCGAGTGGTCGAAGAGTAGCGCCGGCTATCGACACATGATTCCGGCACGGGCCTTCACTCTTGAACCTTGGCAGAGGACTATTGCTCCAGATACCGAACCGTATGTGGAGTTGTCGCAAGAGCAGGTCGCTCGCGAGACGAGCAACTACCGCCTGGGAGGCCACAAGCAATGGCACCTAAGGCGAGATGCGGACAAACAATACCAGTCCAAGGCCCGCGACGCTGATCTTGCGTCCCGAAAGGGAACGCCGGCTTCGAGCTCAAAAGATCCAGAACCTGATGGTGAGGGAAACATAGAGCTCGACAGTCGCTCGTTTGAGCAGGTCAAGCGCCGGGCACCGTGGATCGTCCCCTATCCCAAGGTGAAGTCGTCCAAAACCGAGAAGAGGGGTAGCCCTGCGAAAGCAGAGGCCGAGCCGTCTCTTTTCGTTGATGACGTGGAAGACTACCACCTTGGGTGGTCCCGATCTGAAGAACTCATTTTTGATGAGATGCGAGGAATCAACCGCGATGACTTCAACTCAATTCCGTTCGACGACCCCAGAATGGTCCACGTGCTTCAGGCAGAGTTGAAGCCTGAAGAGGAAGCCGACATTCCCCATCACATCATGAAGGGGATCACCGGTTTGGTCAGAGGCCATCGCTCGGGGCGATCGTGGGATCGGACATGGATGCTCGTTGATGAACTCATCGACATCGTGTTGGCGCGGTGCAAGATTCTTCTAGGGACAAGAAGCATCTTCTCGATCGTCTACCATGACAACAAAGCGAGATTCTCACTTCGGTGTATGCCAGATGCTCTTCGCTCCCAGGCACTTGGCCAGGACCTTTACCCGGTCTGGATCCATTGTGCCCAGGGCCACGCCCAATCGGCCCGAGACCGCTACACAGACACAGACCTCGCAGTGTCCTGGCTTAGCCCTAAAAGTCAAGAGGAGATTGGAGATACCGCCACCTTCGCAGGTAGGCCGCTATTACCAATTGAAAAATGTCCTCCCCGACTGTACCACAGGACTACCAGAGATGCTGCGCTGGCAATTGTCGAAGGGTCAATGAAACCTGGGTTTGGAGACTCGGGCAAGGCACACAACTATTTTGCCCTTGCAGCGCTCGAGGACCTCCAGGTCAAAAGTGGAGTGCGTGCCGACCTTCCCATCGAAATCGTCTACGAGACGAAGCTTGTACTGCAGCACGCATGGCTTTTCATCTCCGAGAGCGACGGCGTCCTCTGTTCAGAAGAAGTCCCTGGCACATGTGCACTCTACGTGCGCGACACTAGGGACGGATCCTACATTTGGACCAGGCCGTCAACCGAAGGGTCATCTAGCCCAGCTAACGCTGAGGCCGATGATCCGATGGAGAATGATCAGCCAAGCACTGCAGTGACCGAAGATGCTGAGGCAATTGATCAGGCAGCTTCGAGCCAGAGCGGTACAAGCTATGCGAAAAGGGTATGCCCCAAGTGCGCGCACGACTACCTCATCGGCCAGACCCTTTGCATCCATTGCGGTCAGTCCTTTATTACCCCTCGCTCCCAACTCCATCGCAGAAAGCTGCAATCGGCACGTTACTTCGCAAAGGAATGTGCTGCAGCATCGTTGGGCCGGCACCATCGGGATCTCTCAGACAGCGACATCCTTCAGGAGATGCGGAGAGATGCAGGTACCCGTGGAGCCATTTCGCCTGAGGCCGAAACGCTCGCTAAAGCAAAGCAGATGGCCAAGCGTGCACGTAATTTGGGCTTCGAGGGCATAATGGACAGGTTCCGCGGTGACGCACAGTTCGCACTCCAAATGATTGACCAAGGTCATGGAGTTGACGACATGCGTGTGTTCCAACTTCTAATTAACGCCGCTCTGCCAAATGAAGGAAGAACTGAGGCACAACGTCGCCTAGGGGTAGGATCCCATGGCACTGGTGCCCGATTCCAGGCAGACAATCCGTTTACTACAGCTCGACTGATTTTCGTGAATTGCACGCCTCAAGAGTTGATTGCTGCGGGTCTAGCGACCACGCCGGACGATCCTGCCTTCGTAGTGTCTTGGATCGGGGCCATCATGAGCTTGGAGGACTTCATCCAGATCCTTGCGAAGTCCGACACGATTCATCGCTTGGTCACCTTCACTGGAACGGAGCCGACCAAAGGCAGCTCTCGATGGTCCCTCGACGAGAATCGGGCATGGATTCTCGATCTGATCCTCAAGAACCAGGGACCAGCGGAGAGAGCCTACCTGGCGAAGGACGAGGATGCCCAGCGGTCACGTGAGGCACAGGCAAAGATTGCGTCAGCCAAGCCGAAGGGAAGGGGAAAGGGCGAGCAGAACCGTGGCGAGCAGTACCGTGCCCCACGCTATGAATGGACGGATAGCTATCGCCAGGGGGGACGATGGAATCGTCAGTGGTGAAACCACTCCCCCGCCCCTTTCAAGCTGTAGCGCCATATTTTCATCGATGAAGCCGAGTTGCAGGCAAATCCGACTGATATCGCCCCGCTAACGCGGAGGCCAATATTTATTGTTGCTTTGCACAAGTAGAAAGATGAATCTTCTTTTCGCCTAATTTCCAACTGGTCACATCGTGACAACTCCGAAACTACCGGCGCCGCACCTCAATTTAACGGCTGACGGTACCAATTCGATCCTCACCTCCGGGTTTGACGCGATCGTTGGAGTTTATAAGTGCAAGCATTTTCGGACTTTTGTTTGCCCTCGGAGCAAAATCGAATTCACATGTGTCTGACGTGCTGCTGTTGAGCATGTCTTAGTGAACACAAACACTTTTCTACTCCCGCGAGGTGATCGCTTGCCCGTCGCAAGACGAGGCCGATGTGCGCTCAGTGATGTTTCAGGGTTGCAGTGCAGTCCGCCTTCCCATTGCCAATACTCGGCGAGGGGGGTGTAATTTTGCATTGCGATAACCCTTGCATTTTAACATCATGTGCATATCGTCCCGTTGCATTACCTCGCAAGCCCTCTGCAGTAGAAAATAGAGCGTTCGCTCCTGCATGGCTTAACGGTATTATCAACTCAGTGCTTGTGATTACACCTTGGAGTTTCCCTGATAACTATAATCCCTGTACTACATACCCCCTGGCAAAGCTCCCAGGCATACCCATTCGTTTGAAAGAGGTCCCCTGCATTGAGGCCTAAAGCAAAAAACCCTAGCACCCTATCTGCCTCCCCAAAACTCAAACCCGAAATCCTAAACCCTAAGCCTTACTTCTTCCAGCACCACAAGCCCTGAGCCCCAAACCCTAAGAGCCCGAAACGAAAAAACGATCAAGAAACCCCCTAAAGCACCCAAACCCCCTTAGGAGTGGCTTTACAGGAAAGGACATAAAGAAGCCCCCTAAAGCACCCAAACCCCCCCTGGGAGTGGGCCCCCCAAAGGAAAGGACATCTTCTTACTGCGGAGCCGCACGGGCAGCCTCACTCTCGCCCCTCAGACTTGCCTGCTCGGAGAGAGGCCCCCCCCCCCCCCCCAAATTTCCGGGAGCCCGAAGTTTCCCCAAAGTTGGGAGCCCTGAAATATCGGGTTTAGGGTTTAGGGTTTAGGGTTTAGAGCCTCAACCCTAAACCCTGAACCCGGATCCTGCCATAGAGCCCCGCACCTGAACAAGAATGATCTTCGCATGCGGGCCTGCATTTCGTATTTTTAAACGATGCGCCCAAAAGACTGTCCCACCTAATGCTGCCAGAGGCGACCCAGCCAACAACTTTCGACGGCACGGTTTCGATTTGTCCGGGTTTCGAAGACCGCACCCTCGTTTCTTTTGTAGGCTACCTGGGACGTCCCCAAAAGGGCCCTTCTATCCTCACATGCGCCAACCCAGGCAAAAGATGCCCTTAAGCCCCAAAACCCTAAACCCTAAAAACTAACCCTAGACCCTCAACCCTAAACCCTAAACCCTAAACCCTAAACTGCATCCCCGGGCTCAAAGAGGCAGCTTGAAAGTCGTGGTTCCCTCAACTGCCCCTGTTGCGTTTAAGTACTCCCCGGCTTGGATGAAGCGCCCAAACCGCAAGTGTTTAGGGTTTAGGGTTTAGGGTTTAGGGTTTAGGGTTTAGGGTTTAGGGTTTAGGGTTTAGGGTTGCAGGTCCCCAAACCCGCCTCTCGACCTTGATTGAAGCCCCAAACTCTCCTTCAGGGAGCCCTGGGAGGCCCTGTACTGTAGCACCTTAAGGCTTTTGAACTGCAAACCCTGAGCCCCTAACCCTAAACCCTAAACCCTAAACCCTAAACCCTAAACTTTGAGCCCCTTAACCCTCAAACCCTGAACCTTCACCCGAGGGCCTGAACTCAATCCCCACATCTTCAGCTTTTTGAGTTCGAAAGCCTAACCTGAAACTCTGAGAAACCAAAAGACCTAACCCTTAAAACCCCAAACCCTAAGCCCTTAGCCCTAAACCCTAAACCCTAAGCCTCACTTAGGCCCGAGGATCCCAAGTGACCTTCACCGTGGAACAGGGCACGAAAGGCGCCCGTTTGGGGGCATTCTGACTTTATAGGGTTTGGGGTTTATTGAAATGGTTTAGGGTTTAGGGTTAGTACTTTATAGGGTTTGGGGTAAATACGCAGTAAAACGACAACAGCGACGTCTCCATCTTCTCATCTAACCCCAAACCCAAGACCCTAAATTAGGCTCCTGCTTTTTATGGCGTAGACCTTGAGCCTGCACCCAAGGCACCCCAACTGACCCTAAACCCTAAGCCCTAAGCCCTAAACCCTAAACCCTAAACCCCAAACCCAAGATCAGCTACCCCAAGAGCACGCAACTCCTCCCGGCCGCCTCGGCTGAAACCCGCAACTCTCGACCCAACTTCGGGCTTGTCTAGGGTTTAGGGTTTAGGGTTTAGGGTTTAGGGTTTAGGGTTTAGGGTTTAGGGTTTAGGGTTTAGGGTTTCCCAAACCTACACAATGAACAGCGACAAAGCCGAAGATGCCTAAACCCCCAAGCCGGAAGCTGAATGCCAGATCGGAAAGCCTACCTGCAGCCCCTCATTGAGGGATGTTTTTTTTTCCCAGACCCCAGACCCCAGACCCCAAACCCCAAACCCCAAACCCTAAACCCTAAACCCTAAACCCTAAACCCTAAACCCTAAACCCTAAACCCTAAACCCTAAACCCTAAACCCTAAACCCTAAACCCTAAACCCTAAACACTACACTAAGCCCTGTCCAAGCCGTAAGATCCTAGTGGCCTACGGAGGTCCTGAGGCTGCAAATGTCCAGCTGGTGCAGGCGCCCGAGTCGAGGCGCATGAGGGGGGGCCGGGAGGGAGGGGGGGGGAGCTCCTTTCGGGTTAGGGCTTAGGGCTTAGGGCTTAGGGTTTAGGGTTTAGGGTTTAGGGTTTAGGGTTTAAGGACCAAGAATGTTGAGTTTGTAGTGCCGTTGTAGGGTACAGGGTCCCCAGACCCCGAGCCATAAACCCTGTGTAAGTCCCACTAAACAGCCAAATCGAGCGGGCCCTTCAGGGAATCGGGGTTAGGGATTAGGGTGCAGGGCTTTGCATTTTGGGTTTAGGGTATTCGGGCATTAGGGTTTTCGGGTTTTAGGGTTTAGTTAGGGTTTAAGGGTTTAAGGGTTTAGGGTTTAGGGTTTAGGGTTTAGCTGCATGGTTGAAGGCTGAGGGATCTAAACCCCAAACCCGGTCCAGCTGCGGAAAGACCGCCCGATAAGCCTCCTCATTGTCTTATTTAGACTCTATAGGCTCTAGAGTTTAGAGTGTAAAGTGTAGGCTTTCCGCCTGCTCCAAAGAATCCCAGGCCCCAAACCACACCTGTCATTCTCTCTGCAGCAGGTTCCGGGGCACTGTGAAATCTTGGAACCCGCAGCGGGGTTGGGGCAACTTCGGCTGACCTAACCTTGGCTCTCAGGGGCTTGTAGGGTTTAGGGTTTAGGGTTTAGGGTTTAGGGTTTAGGGTTTAGGGTTTAGGGTTTAGGGTTTAGGGTTTAGGGCTAGGGCTTCGAGGCTTTGAGCCCTCAAAGCCCCCTAAACCCAGGAGCTCTAAGCCCCCAAAACCCTCGTCCGCTTCGCGCCGGGATCCTCTGTCCCAACTCGTCCAAGCAACTCTGCCACCCCCCTCTGCAAAGCTTCGCCCCTATGAGCTGCTGAGACCTCAAGCCTGCCCCCCTCCCTCCGTCACCCTAAACCCTAAACCCTAAACCCTAAACTCTGAACCCTGAACCCTAAACCCTAAACCCTAAACCCTAAACCCTAAACCCTGAGCCTGAAACCCTACAAGCCCGAAGCTCAAGTAGCACAGAATTCCTAGGGAGATTTTAGCTGCTTGGTTCAGGATCCAGGGAATTCCGCAGATTCTTTGAGGGTCTCGGGTTTCGCGATTTGGGGGTTTAGGGCGTCTTGAGGCCTCCATTTGGGAAGCTAGGGTTCGGGGCATCAGGGGTTTAGGGTTTGGGGTTTAGGGTTTAGGGTTTAGGGTTTAGGCTTTAGGGTTTAGGGTTTAGGGTTTATCGGGGATCATAAAAGTTTACAGGGCTTATAGGGCTTAGGTATGTTTGCATGCAGTTTGTTTTGCTTGCTTGTTGCGTTTCGTTGGAAACCCTAAGCCCTAAATCCCGAAACAATCCTGAGCTAACCCTAAGCAACCCTAAAGGCCTTCTCCCTGCAGCCTAAAGCCCTAAACCCCAAACCCCCTTTGGTCCTCTCTGTACTTTTGGTGACCGAGGACATATTGAATGCGCCGCCACCCAGGAGGTGTATGGCAAGGACCAGGTTCAGGGTTTAGGGTTTAGGGTTTAGGGTTTAGGGTTTAGGGTTTAGGGTTTAGGGTTTAGGGTCCGTATACCTAAACCCTAAACCCTAAACCCTGTATCCCGGGCGTTCACGTATTCTATTTGCCCCCTTCTTGGGTTCAGAGCCCTTGGCCCCAGAAGCTTTCACGGGTTCAATGCTTCTCTGGCGCCCAAAACCCTTGAACCCGTGAATGCTTCTGGGGTTGTTGTTCTCTCCTTGTCAACTCACCGCTAGATCCTCGAAACATGAGAAATGCATGCACGCTTGTGCCCTACTTTATTTACAGCGTAAACAATAAACGCCACTGAGGCCTCAACCCTAAAGCCAAAACCGTAAACCCACTAAACCCCCTAAACCCTCTAAACCCTCTAAAACCTCTAAACCCTAAACCCTATAGTCTTCAGGACATCTTTCTGATGCGGTCCGCACTCGTCGGTGGGCAGTGTAACAAGGCTCAGCCCTGTCTGGCTTGCAGGGTTTCGGGGTGTAGGGTGTTTACGGTGTTTAGGGCTTTAGGGGTTGTAGGGGTTTAAGGCTTTAGAGTTATGACGTCCAGCTGTGCACCGGGCAGACATATCTGAAAATGCAGTTATGCAGCAATAATGTAGGTCAAAAGTGCAAATCTCGACCTTCTCCATCGCAACAATGAGGGAAAAATGCAGGCCCATTTCTCCTCCATTTTCTGGCTTCTGTATATAAAAGGCTGCATGACGGCTCCTACTTTTGTGTACGATATACACACATTTCATACATGCTCGGGTAAATCCCCGTCTATTTTTTCGAGAGTCCCCGACACCGAAATCTATGGACGAGTCGCCTGCTGCCATAAATAGCCGCAGCCCCCGAAATATGCAACCCCCTTCCCCGTCCGCCCGTTGCTACTTAGGGGTGGGGGGCGGGGGCCATGCAACCCACACGAGCATCTATCCTGGCCCCGGCAGTCCAACCCTCATTTTACCTTCATTCCTGCGGTGAGGCCCCCTCCATTTTTCCTCCATTTTCCTTACAAAAATGGAGGAAAAATGGAGGAACAATGGAGGAAAAATGGAGGCAAAATGGGCGCCAGGAACCTCATTCCAGAATGCAGGCAGAATGGAGGCAGGAGTCCAGCCTCATTCTGCGGGCGACCCCCACCCGGCCCTACCGGGCATACCCCGGCACCCTTCTGCACTTCAAACTCGAACCGTTTGGAATCTCGACATTCAGACTGGCGTGCCCTGTAATTGTCCAGCTGCGCCGGTTTAAAGTAATGACACAGATAAAGAAGTGCCAGGTTCTTGTTCACTAGACTTTCAGCATCAAACTCAGCTGTGATTTTGCTTTTGTGCGCGCTGGCCCAACACCTACCTGACGCTTGCGAGAAAAAGTGGGAGAAGCTAGAATGCCTTGATTTCGCCAGCATTCTTGATTGAGGCCAGGAATGGAGGCGGCTTTGCCTCCATTCCTCTACCCTCATTTTTTGGATGCTGCCCCCATTCTGCTATTCTGGGTGTCTGCAATGATGGGCTTCATAACTTTAGAGGTTTGAAGGGTTGGGAGTCTGGAGTTTGGTGCCTCAGAGGATGGAGGGCTTATTTAAAGGCTTGGGGCCTGAGTCCTTTCCACAGTGAACACAACACCCAAAACCCATTCCGTAGAACCTAGGCTTAAAGGCCCATTGGGAAACCTCACCCCGCTTGCAGCGGGGTGAAGAGCGGCCGTTTTCCTAACACAGACCACGGAGCGCCAGCTTAGAGGGGGGGGGGGGAGGGCGTTTTGGGGTTTAGGGGTTAGGGTTCAGCTTCAGGGTGTAATGTTAGAGTCGCTTTTATAAACCCCCCCCCCCCAAATCTTGTTTTGGTCCCCGGGGTTTGGAGGGGTGGAAAAAAAGAGGGGGTGTCAATTATGAGGATTCTGGGGGTCTGGGGTCTGGGGGTCTGGGGGGGGTCAGCTGTCAGGGTCTGCTTTGCTTTGTCTTGAAGGCTTTTCAGTAAAATTTTCAATTCCTGGCCAGAGACATTTTACAATTGCCACCCCATTCTTATTGTCACCGGACCCCCCTATATAGACTTGTTTACATACATCGGCCCGAAAACCTCCCGTAATGGAAAGTAGTCTTCGGCTGGGGCCCTCTGGCCTGGCGAATATTACTATTGCCACCCCAATTAAAAAAGCCACTCTCACATTAGATTTTCTGCTGATGTATCATCCTCATGCAGGCACGCTTGCACGTCAGGCTGCGGTTGCCTCTACCCGGGACTCCAAGACCTTCAATCCTCAACCCAAATGCCTAAACCTCAAGCCTAAACCCCAAGCCCAAACCCACTAGTTCCTAAACCCTGCCCTCCCCCCCCCCCCCCCCCGCAAGTGTCAGGGGGATGAGGTGTCCTTCGACATCATTGAAGGGAGCAAAGGGCCGGAGGCGACTTCTGTGTGTGTTGGTGTTGGTGTTGGTGTTGGTCTATGCCGCAGCCCCAAACACATGAGTAGGTTAAACCCTAAACCCTGAGCCCTAAACCCTAAGCCCCGTGAGTAAGGCGGGTAGAGCCCCCGAAGTTGAGAGTCTGAAAATCAGAAGGGTTTGGGGTTTTAGGCTGGGGGGGGGGGGGGGGGGTAGGGTCAAGGTTAGGTCAAAGAGCCCTTCTTATAAATCGGAGGGGGGGGAGCCTTTTTTGAGGTTCCTATGTCAAGCTCGCCGTATATTGATAAGTGGTTTAAGGTTGCCCTACGCAACGATGTAAGCAGGTGACCGTGGAAGCACGCAAATGCCCTCCACTCTTCAGACTTGTGGGGTTTTCTTGCACACACACACACACACACACACTACTTTGGTTGCTTACAGTTCGTTTTGAAGTTTTTTGCAGTACCTAGCAGGAAGGGGAAATCCTAAACCCTAGGGTTGAGGGTTTAGGCTTTAGGGTTTAGGGTTTAGGGGTTTAGGTGTTTAGGGGTTTAGGGGTTTAGGGGTTTCGGGGTTTAGGGTTTAGGCTTTAGGCTTCAGGGTTGCAAGCTACAGATCCACCCCACAAGGTGGGTGTTTTCAGTACTGCAATTCCCAGAGCTGGGAAGCAAAGCCTGCAAGCGCCAGGCTGCTGCAAATGCCTCAGCTCGGAACACCCAACCATAAACCAACTCCCCCCGAAACCCTAAACCCTGAACCCCAAATCCCTGAACCCTGAACCCTAAACCCTAAACCCTAACCCTAAACCCTAAACCCTCAAGCACGGGCACATGGAACCCTGTACGGCTGAAATTGGCTTCGCCGGCAGGCGTGTGGCGTCCAAGTGGCGGCATGGCCGGACGATTCAGGGCTTAGGGGGTTTAGGGTTTAGGGTTTAGTGTTTAGGGTTTAGGGTTAGGGCCGGTGGATGGCTTTGGGATGTGGGATTTGGACTTCGGGTGTAGGGCTGAAGGGCCTCAAGCTTCAAAGTGAGGCTGGAGAATAGCTGCCCTGAGCCCGAATTAGGTCTTAGGGTGAAAGTTTCAGGATTTGGGTTTTTAGGAGTTTGTTGTTGAAGGTTCTTTTGTTGTTGTTGAGGGTTCAGGTTTCGGGGTCTAGGGTTTTAGGGTTGTTTGGCGTTGCGATTCAGGGTTGCAGGGTGTTGGGCGGGGGGGGGGGGGGGGGGAGGGGTTTTAGGACAGCCCATCGACTTCAAGTCCTTCCAACCCTAAGGCCCTCAGCTCTGGAAAACCCGAAAATCTCCTAACCACGGAGAACCTAAACCCTAAACCCTAAACCCTAAAACCCTAAACCCTATACCCTATAAACCTTAAACCTGAAGCCTCGGAGCCAGAAAGAATCTCGGCGGCCATGCGCCGAGGTAACGGCTCCTGTAGCAGCTCCTGACCATCCTCGCGCTTGGGGCATGAGGATTGTTGTTTAGGGTTTAGGGTTTAGGGTCTAGGGTCTAGGGTCTAGGGTCTAGGGTTTATAGGGTTTAGGGTTTACGGTTTAGGGTTTAGGGTTTACGGTTTACGGTTTACGGTTTAGGGTGTAGGGTTTAGGGTTTAGGGTTCAGGGTTTAGTGGGCCCACTATAGACTTGGCAGCCCAGTGGCACTTTTCGCTGTTCTTGGTTCAAGGTTCCCTTGTAAAGTAACCAACCCCAAAACGGGTACCCTTATCGTAATATGGCTACTGGGCTACAACAGGCAGGGGTGTTCGAATAAAGGCGTTCCTATAACTGGTAAGGTTTGTCGTGAGTTTGGGGTTTGGAAGGGGTGCCCCTATTTTGGGAGATTCCATATATGTATGCAGCTGCGGCATAGTGCCACCGGATTTGGGGAGCTGCGTTGGTTAAGGCGTTTAGTTTAGAAGCATATAGGGGTGCTCTTTTGAGGGTGTTCCTACAATAAAGATTACGGTATTGACATTGGAGGTATATCAGGGTGCCCTCTTTTGGGAAGCACTCAAGAAGCTCTTGAAAGGCATCACAAATGTTGCCAGGGTTCGTGCTGGGCATCGACATGTTCAAAAACAACGTAAATGCTATTGTTTTCGCATCTCTACTAGCAGCCTCTGTAGCCCCCGTTTTAGGAAAAAATCACCTGCCGGACGAGAATCGCCTAAACATCTTTGTGAGCAAAGGCACTCTTTCATGCGATTAAGGGGTGTAGAGGGACTCAGACAGGAAGGATGGACGGCAGCTACTTTCTCGGCCATGCTTGGCCTCTGCGACTCGCTGCGCTGGAGAGCAGCACTTACTGGTGACAATCAAGCCTTGCGACTATAGGGTTTAGGGTTTAGGGTTTAGGGTTTAGGGCTCTCGAAACCCATCCTGATCTCATCAAGACGTCGCTCGATGTGTTCTTCGATCAGCTAACGGAAGACTTCGGAGCTGTTGGCCTGCCTCTGAAGGCATCAGAAACGTGGTGGTCAAGAGACACATGGTTATATTCACGGTTTAGGGTTTAGGGTTTAGGAATTATTCCCAGGACTGGATGGTCGCATTGGCGCTCCTCCCAATGAGTCTGAGGAGGTCTACAGGGATTCAGTCGGACACGAAGGGCGTGCTCCCTGACTTGGAGGTGTGCTGGCTTCTTCTTTTGGAACAAGAAGTAACTAAGCTCCTAATATTTCACAACCCCAAGAAGGCAAAGCCAGCCTAACCCCTTAACCCCAAACCCGAAACCTTAGTTGCTTTGGAAGTTTGACAAGTAGGAACAATGCCTTGCGCCCAAAGCCCAGAATCCTAAACAAATGAAGCCCGAAACCGCTAAGTGCCCTGTCCCCAAGCACCTTAAGATGCCGCCAAAATTTCTCAGGGCCCTCAATGCCCTGGAGCAGCCTAGGCCCTAAACCCCTAGCAAACAATCCCTAAACCCTCAACCCTGAACCCTACCCCTAAACCCTAAACCCTAAACCCTAAACCCTGACTACTAGGCCCTGAGCCCTATGTTCCTGCAGCCAAGGCATGGGCTACGTGGCCATGTACCAGGCGCCGCAGTACGACGGCGTCATCGCGCTCCCCGGCGCCGTGCTGGGGTGTCCTCTTTCGGGTTCAGGGTTTAGGGTTTAGGGTTTAGGGTTTAGGGTTTAGGGTTTAGGGTTTAGGGTTTAGGGTTTAGGGTTTAGGGTTTAGGGTTTAGGGTCTTTCTGTGCAGGTGGTCGGATCTAGCTTTGCAAATGGGGAGCGCAGCGGGTAGGACCAAAGGAGTCATGGAAGGAGATCGGACAACATGAAGTATGGGGTTTTCAAAGACTGGATTCCAAATGCGGCCTCTCGTTCATAGCGATCTCAACCCAACTCATGTGTTTTTTTCTTATAATGCACTCCTGAATGGAAACACTGTACTGACAGAGCCGACAGCGACGCTAAACTGACGGTTAGACGCTGACTATGGCTTTTTTTGTAAATCCTAGACCGCATTGTGAAGGAAGTCAAAGGATGCTTGGGTCATCTATCCGAGTCAGACCCCGATACTGGATCAGGTTGCTACTGCTCCACCCTTGCACATACACGAGCCTAATTGACCAACAATATCGTCCCCGTCTCGTCCCTGTATAACCTCAACAGAAACTATCCAAAAAACCTCTTCCAGGCGATGAAACATATCTACATGATATTGAAGAGAAGCCGCTGCTGGGGCTTGGTGACGAAGTAGGCAGAAAGGGAGGGAGGGACCATCTACACCCTAAACCCTAAGTCCTACGTCCTCTAGAAAAAAGGTGAGGGAGGGACCATCTAGACCGAGAAACCCTACACCTTAAAACCCTTAGCCCTAAACCCTAAACCCTAAACCCTAAACCCTAAATGCTTCAGAGAGCCTGGCCCCAAAGATGGCTCCTCAGCCCGCGAGTTTTTACATACCCAGACCAGGCACTACAACGCCGCGCTGCAGCAGGGCTCCATCCACTGCCCGCAGGTGTTCGCCGCGACGCTAACCTGAAGCAGCCCTAAACCCTAAACCCTAAACCCCAAACCCTGAACCCTGAACCCTAAACCCTAAACCCTAAACCCCAGTCAGGGCTTCCTCAAATGCCTGCAACACACCGTTGCCCTGAACCCCCAACCAGGAAGCGCACTGGCATCCGAAGACAACAGACCGGACTTGAAAATGTGCTTGAAACTAGGTATATAGGCCATTGAGATACTTGGTTGGCATTTTCGCTTTTTGGGCTGAGGAGGATTCAATATCGGAACAATATTCCTAAACCCTAAACCCTAAAGCAGAATATTCAATATTTGAAGCGGTTTTAAGCCTCCTAGGAAAGGACTTGAACCGCGGATTTCGGGTTTGGGATTTAGGGTCCCTGAACCCTGTTATCAACCCTGAACCCTAAACCCTAAACCCTAATCCCTAAACCCTAAACCCTACACCCTAAACCCTAAACCCTAAACCCTAAACCCTAAACCCTAAACCCTAAACCCTAAACCCTAAACCCTAAACCCTAAACCCTAAACCCTAAACCCTAAACCCTAAACCCTAAACCCTAAACTAAACCCGAAACCCAGTGGCCACGGAGACACCAGCAGGTATGGCTGCGACGTCGCCGTGACCGGCCAAAGACTGGGAAGCGCCTTCTTGAGACTTAGAGCCGTAAGTTTTATAGGGTGTAGGGTTTAGGGTTCAGGGGTTACGGTTTAAGCTTGAGGGTTTACGAAACCCAACCCCTCAGAAAGTTGATAAGAAAAAAGAGCCTAATCCGATCCTTGGCGCACTGGCTTTTGAAGCGCTTTGGGTCGGTGGGTTAAAGGGTTTAGGGTTTCCGGGGTTTATGGAGTTTATAGGAGTGTTTAGGGTTTTATAAGCGTTTGGGGTTCTGGGTGCGAAGTTGTCTTTGTACGTGGGCCCACGAACCCGGCTTGGAAGCTTCTTCGGGTCTACAAATTCGGGTGACGGCTTCTCGGGGGCGAGCTGAATTCAGGATCTCGGGTTGGGGGTCCCGCTACCCCTAAACCCTAAACCTTGAAAAGGGTTTAGGGTTAGGGTTTAGGGTTTAGGGTTTCTTCATAATCCCGGAGAACTAACCCCCCCCCCCCCCCCCCCCCCCTTATCCTCCATGGAGGACTAACCCCCCCACCCCGTGCCTAACGGCGCGGTCTCTAGGGTTTAGGGTTTAGGGCACGAACATGCAAGACATCTGCAGAGTCGGAGCCTGCGACAGGCTACGTACCCCAAGCCGGCGATCAGATCACCTTCGGTCTGGCCATTAGATGCTCGGCTGAGCGATGCTCGTTTAGGGCTTAGGGCTTAGGGAATTGTAGGGTTTAGGGTTTATAGGGTTTCAGGTTCCCACAGCGTCCTCTTCCGGTAAAGGGCTTAGGGGATAGGATGCTCATAGGGGTTTGGTTAGGAGCTGTGTCCCTTTTCGAAGACCCCAAGAGGACCATAGTTATAGGGTTCTTAAGGCAGGGGGGTCATCTGTCGAAAGCGGCCACCGGAAAGCCGCAGGCACCACGAGGTAGCAGCTCCAAATGCCCCAACCCCCCCCCCCACCCCCGTATACTCACCCTCGAAGACCCCCTAATCCCCCCTAAACCCCCCTAAACCCCCCTAAACCCCCCTAAACCCCCCTAAACCCTAAACCCTAAGCCCTAAACCCCACCTGATGCATCCCGAGGCCAAGATGGGCGGCCAGAAGCACTGAATGTGCAGCAGGCGAACAGCTACCAGGCGCCTGGAACAGTTAGCTGAGGGTTTCGGCTTTATATAGGGTCCAGGGGTCATGACCCTAAACCCTGAACCCTAAACCCTAAACCCTAAACAGGGCTTAGGATGTTGCATAGCTTTGGGGCGTGTAGTTTCTGGGATCCGCGGCTTCAGGTTGTTTTACGTGCATTTTTGAGAGGGCTTCGATAGTGCTTGAAACTTAGGATGTTTCCCCCTTGTACTCTCAGTCCTGAGTAGGGATTCTAGGGGGGGGGGGGGGTACCTAGAATCCCTGTTGGGGACTATTGGTATCAGAGGATGGTCAGGCGCACACTGAGCAAGGCCCGAAGCGCGCTCAGGAAATTTCCATCCAGCGGCAGGATGGTCGTCACGTCCAGGTTTAGGGTTTAGGGTTTAGGGTTTAGGGTTTAGGGTTTAGGGTTTAGGGTTTAGGGTTTAGGGTTTAGGGTAGTGGAGATGGCTCGCAACGCTTACTGGTGGTGCTGTCAGACTTGAGCCCGGGCCAGAAAGACTTGGCCAGCCTTTTTTCTCCATTCCTCAGCACAGACACGACAGGCAGTGATGTGAGCATAGGAGCTCTAGCTCGACGTGTGGTGCCGGCTTTAGGGTTTAGGGTTTAGGGTGAGAGAATTCTTTGGAGTTGGTTGCGATGCCTGCCTGCAATCAGGGCGTGATGGTGAACAGGAACGCACCATCCGGGCCGTTGATCAAGCTGTGGTGCATGTGCTCGGGGCACGATCAATTTGCCCACGGGGCGATTTGTCGAGAACACTGGACTCCCGGCAAGCGGGGCCAATGGACACTCTCAAGTTACGGCAATTGCTACAGCTGCCTTTGTCCAGGACGTGTTGTTAGAACGCCCCTAAACCCTAAACATCCTAAACCCTAAACCCTAAACCCTAAACCCTCAACCCCAACACCCTCAACCCTAAACCGGGGGCTTTAAGAACTGGGGCTTGAGGGTTCGGGAGGAAGATGTGTTGCCATACACGGAATCAGGTTCTATCGGAGTTCAGGTTCAGGAGTTGCGAGGGTTTAGGGTTTAGGGTTTAGGGTTTAGGGTTTAGGGTTTAGGGTTTAGGGGTTAGGGTTTGTAGGGACAGTCTCGAGGCCGAGCGGAGCCACACGGGCCTGTTCCTCGGCAGCAGTCAGCCCGGTTCTGCATTCCTAGGGTTTTTTTGAGTTGAGGGTTTAGGGTTTAGGGTTTAGGGTTTAGGGTTTAGGGTTTTGAGTTTAGGGTTTTGAGTTGAGGGTTGGTCTAAGGGTAGTTTCATTTGTCCTCTTTATGGTCCCTTACCCTCTTTTTTTGGGGCTTTTATGTAAGGGTCCTGAATTTGTACAGGGTATATAAGGGGTTGTTAAGGGGTCCCAGCAAGGGACCATGTAACTACCCCGAAGAGTTGGGGACAGAGGACCAACCCTGGGAAACCTAAACTCCAGAAGAAGTCGGACCCGGAATAGGCCCCATATCCTTTTTGGAAGGTTTAGGGTGTCTAGGGCTTAGGGTTACTAGGACCCAGAGTAGGCCCTGGTTCCCTTTTTTAGGGGGGGTTAGGCAACACAGTTAACACTTTACCCCTATTAATCCTACTTGCACCCTGAATCCTTGCTGGGACCTCACACCCCCCCCCCCCCCACCCCCACCTCTCCAAAAGACAAAAGTGTTCAACCATTTGCTTGGGGTGTAGGGCTTGGGGCCACAACAACCCTACAGCCATAAAACCGACCCAGGGACGGGGCGGGGGGTGGGGGGGGACAGGACGGGGGGGGGGGGGGGGGGGGGGGGGGGGGGGGGGTGCAAGAGGCATCTTAGCAGTTTGGTTCGTGCTATGTTGTCGGATTCCAAAACCCTAACACCCAAACCTGCTTTCCGAAACCCATTGGAAACCCTCAAACCCCTAAGCCCTAAAACCATCAATACCTAGACTAGACCCAAGAGCAGCCTAGGAATACAAAGGGTGCCCTGGTTGGTTTCAAGAGGTTTGTAAGGGAAAGGGTTAGAGTGTGGAATTAGGGTTTTTCATCCCAAGCTCATGTCTTGTGCTTAGTTCCTGGCGCACGGTCTCGTAAGGTCGTGGGCCAAAAGCATCCGCCCCTACCAGTGACAGACGCCCTGGTGGCGGCAATTGAGGCTTCAGCGGCTAAACACCGGGACGGGCCCAAGAAAGCTCCGAACCAAAGCCCTCTCAACCTCGCCATTCGAACCTGCCATTCGGAGGCTTTCGGTTGGGGTCTTGTTTTGGGGCTTAAAGGGTTGGGGGGATTAGAGGTTTAGGTTTCTCCTGCAAGCGATGGTGTTGTCTCATGACGGCCGGAGGGTAAGGTTTAGGGTTTAGGGTTTAGGGTTTAGGGTTTAGGGTTTAGGGTTTAGGGTTTAGGGTTTAGGGTTTAGGGTTTAGGGTTTAGGGTTTAGGGTTTAGGGTTTAGGGTTCAGGGTTTAGGGTTTCGGGTTTCGGGGGAACCCGGAGCAAGCTTCAAGCGTTTCGGGTTTGCCCGAAAACCCAAGCCGTAGCCGACCTCCAGGCACCGAAACGCCGATCTCTCGCAGACCTACTATAGGGGTTTAGAGTTTAGGGTTTAGGGTTTAGGGTTACGGTCCCTTGTAATTACTTGTAAGAACCCCCCAAAACCCTGTTCTAATTGTTCAGGGCCCTATAGTACGCTAAACCTTTCACCCTGAGCCCTATCGACCTTTTGACCCTGCAAACCTTAAACTTCCAACCCACCTTTGGTTTGGATTGTTTTTGCTGTCAGGGGTGAGTGTTGCCAGGGTGCTTTAGATTTTGGTGAGTGTCTCGCAAGCACCGGCAACACAAAATGACCCTGCTTCATGGGGTTCGAGGTCAGCGCTCGCCCCCCCCGCCGTGACTTCGCGAGCCCACGTCTGCTGGAAAAGAGACCAAGACCTTTAGGGTTTAGGGTTTAGGGTTTAGGGTTTAGGGTTTAGGGTTTGCTTTCCTTAGAGGGGGCGGGGGTTGCGGTTGTGGAGGTGCTTTAAGGGCTTCCTTGTTGTTTATGGGCACTATAGTGTTTGCTTGTAGGGCAGTAGTCGTTGCTGCGGCTTTAGGATTTTTGTTTAGGGTTTTGGGTTTAGGGTTTAAGGTTTAGGGTTTAGGGTTTAGGGCTTAGGGCTTGAGGTCTCTGGACATGTCGAGCTTAGACCACCCGAGGTGTGGGGGTGTGGAGTTCAACCTTAAGATCTAAAACCCTGGACCCGTTCTAAGGCTGGGGATCTAGGAGTTTATGGTTGTTAGGCTTTAGGCTTTAGGGCCTTGTTGGGGTTTAGTGTTTAGGGCTATGGGTTTCTGGTGGCTCCCCGGACTTCGGGCCCAACAGCCTGAAACCCACAAAACCGAAACCCTAAACCCCTGAAACGCACACCTGGAAAGCCTTAAAACCCTACACCCTAAAGCCTAAACCCTAAACCCTAAACCCACTGTCCATGGCCGCCAAGGGGTCCGTGGCACTGGGCCTGGTGCAGAGTTTCGCCTTCGCCTCAGAAATCGCGGCTTCGTGGTTTGCTATAGGACTTAGGGGGTGAGGATTTGGGGTTTAGGGTTTAGGGTTTAGGGTTTAGGGGAAAACGCCTTGCATGCGCAGCCCCCACTCAGCTGCAAGCCCTACACCCCCACCAGCTTCAGACGGCTCACTTGAGGCAGACGATAAGCCGCACAAGCAACGTGCTTCTGAGAACTGCCCGATGGGTTTAGGCTTTCTACACCATTCTTGAGCATTTTAGGTTGGTGTATTTCATAGGGGCCGCAGAGCTTTATAGGGTGCCAAGAGCTTAAGAGCTGCTAAGGCTTACCCTAAACCCTAAACCCTAAACCCTAAACCCTTAACCTTCTAGGGACCCTGACCTTAAGCCCCTAAGTCCCTAAACCCTACACCCCGGCCCCGATCCTAAGACCCCAAGCCTGCGCGCGCCCTAAACCCCATATCCTAAACCCCAAACCCCAAACCCTAGCCTAAACCCTAAACCCTAAACCTCAAACCCCAAACCCTAAACCCTAAACCTCAAACCCCAAACCCCAAACCCTAAACCCTAAAACTACAAACCCCAAACCCGAACTACACCCTAGACCCCCACCCCTTCCTCCCCTCAACGAAGGCATGCCTCGTAAAGACTCGGGCGCAGGTGCTGCCGAGGGTGTTAGCTCCCCAGCATGCCAAGTACGCAGGCCAGGGCTTAGGGTTTAGGGTTTAGGGTTTGGGGTTTGGGGTTTTGCGGGTTTAGGGTTTAGGGTTTGGGGTTCATGGATGTTAGGGATGTTGACGGTTGAGGGTTTATGGCTTCAGGAAGGCCTATTCATTGTTTTAGGGCTTGCGTGAAGGTTTTTGTTTTGGTGTCTTTGGCTTGTTGGGGTTTCGGCTTTCCCCAATCCCGAGCATCCACCCAACGCACTGTGAAACCTAAGGCCCCTGTAGCGCCGAAACCCTGAAACGGGTTTGGGGGTGTTCGGGTTTGTGGCTTAGGGTTTAGGGTTTAGAGTTTAGGGTTTCGGGTTTAGGGTACCAAAACCCCTAAACCCCAAACCCTAAATAGCAAAGTACCTACATACCAAAGTACCTAAATACCGAAGTACCTAGAAACCTTCAACCTGTACAAACCCCTTCACCCCTACAATCCTATGGTACCTGAGGTCTAATGTAGGGGGCACTTAGGTGTACAGGGACGATGATATAAGGTATGTACAAATAGGGATTATATGGGGAGTTCTCTACATGTGGGGACCTTATTCTAAGGCGGCCCCTCTGGTTGAGGGCTCCCAAAATGCCCAAAACGGACAATTTGGAGAACTCACCATTTTGGGGAATAAGATCAAGTGTCCCGTCTCCCTAACCCGAAACCCTAAACCCGAAACCCGAAACCCTAAACCCTAAACCCTCCTCCTTCTATCCCTGGACTGTTGCATCTGCCAGAGGCATCCTCAGCTTCACGCGCCTGCCCGGGCCCCGGCCTGCTGCAGGTTTTGTGGGATTCTTGGGGCACAAGGTTTAGGGTTTAGGGTTTAGGGTTTGGGGTTTGGGGTTTAGGGTTTAGGGTTTAGGGCTAGGGTCTAGTTCGGGCGTCAGGACATGAGACTTGTCGCTGCATGCCCGGCAAGCTTCCGCTTGGGAAGGTCTGGCCTCCAGACTTTGCACGAACGTCGGCGCCACCATAACCCTAAACCCTAAACCCTAAACCCTAAACCCTAAACCCTAAACCCTAAACCCTAAACCCTAAACCCTAAACCCTAAACCCTAAACCCTAAACCCTAACCCAAAACCCTACAGCCCTCAGGCCCCCAAACCCCCCAACCCCGACGCTGCCCAAACTCCCCCACACACCAAACTGAGCTTCGGATTTTTAGGATTTTAGGGTTCAGGGTTCAGGGTTCAGGGTTTAGGGTAGGGTTTAGGGTTTAGGGTTTAGGGTTTTTAGGACTTTAGGGTTCAGTGTTTGCTTGGGGGTTTGTGCATTCCTAGCCAGGGTTTCATACATATCGGGGCTCCATTTGACTAGTTGTTGGTAGAGGGTTAGGCATGTTGAGACCCCATCATCGGGTCCCTATGTTTGAAACACCCAGAAAGTCACAGCGAAAAGCCAAGAGCGGGTAATATAGGGGTCGGAAGAATTACTAATAATATTCCCTTATGGTCCCTTTGTAATTATACTATAATAACCCCCCACAACCCTAGTCTAATTCTTCAGGCCCCTATATTAAACTGAGTTCAGAGATCATCCCCGGCAAAAGTCTCTGCTACAGGGTCCGCTGTTCGCGGATGCTGCTGAGCTGCATTATTTGTATGGGTTGGTTGTCTCTTTAAGTAGGGTTTCTGTCTTATAACAGGGGTAAATATTCTGGGTTCTTATAAGGGTATCTAGCGGCCACATTAAGGCATCCATGTAACAGATAAAGAGGCCACCGGCCTTTATAATGCATTATCGTGTGGCTGATTTGTCAAGGGACTAAAGGAGGGACCTTTCGAAGGGATCGTAGGGGCAACGTAGGGGCCACTGAGTACAGGGACTATAGAGGTACAGATCGAGACTGTTTAGGGCTGTTTAGGGGAATTAGAGGGAGGGTTTTGAGTTAAAGGGCTGAGACGGCTGAGAGCCAGAAACGAGAGCGCCAGTCTGCAGGGATTCCTTTGGCTTTGGATTTTCGCCTTTGAATCGGCGGCCGTCGCCTAGTGCCTATTCCCCCCCCCCCCCCCCAGAGGGTAGGGTTGCCCCCCAACTTCCCAAGCGTTCTCCTCTCTCTCTCTCTCTCTCGCTTTTTTTTTCTCGCCCTCTCTCTCTCGCTCTCTCTCTCTCTCTCTCTCTCTCGCTCTCTCTCTCTCTCTCTCTCTCTCTCTGTCCCCTGTCTCTCTTACTATCTCTCTCTCTCTCTCTCTCTGCAACGCCGAGGTTGAGACACATGAGTTTCAACTGGACGGAGAATGATTGGTTCCAGGCCGTCACCAAAATAAATAGGGTTCAGGGTTGAGGCTTTCGGGGTTAGGGATACGAAGGCGTTCCTTTTTCGTTCACTTGGACAAGGGTTGGGGCTTTCTTTGTTTATAGCTTAGGTGGGGTTCATGGCTATTGTAAACTTGCGGCAGATGAGCAGACTCTAGCACATGTCAGGTGCAAGCCCCCAAGCGTAAACTCGTCCCTGAGAGAGGATGGGTCGAGGATTCGGGACTCAATGAGAAGTTTTTTGCAGGGAGAGGAATAATCAAATGGGCTTTGAAGTACAAGGGTATTGGAGTATTGGGGCTCCGGGCTTGGGGTTCGTAACCCTAAACCCTGAACCCTTGAACCCTGTAACCCTTTAGCCCTTGAAACTTGAACCCAAAACTTTCCTTGGAGGAATTCGGCTTGGGATTTGCAGTCAATTGGATGTTTAGGGTTTAGGGTTTAGGGTTTAGGGTTTAGGGTTACTTATCTCCGTCGATCTGCGGGTTCATCTCTCTCTCTCTCTCTCCGACTCTTCCTTGGCGCGCTATTGCTTTCTTAGCTAAGGTAGGCCATTTGGGATATTGGCCCTTTTGGGTTTAAGAGGATCCTATTCTGGACAAATCCAGAGGGTGTTAGTTCAAGGGCCAGCCTCGTTACGGTTCACGCCCCCTGTTGGTT